TTCACAGATGTGGGAGCTGCAGATCCTGAAGGGGCCTATAGGAAACCTGAGGAGGGACTTCTTATAAAAGCACGTAGTGACAGGACAAGGGGACATAGCTTTAAACTGGGTGAGTTAGACTTAAACTAGATATTAGGAATAAAATCTTTCCTGTGAGGGTGGTGAGACACTGGCGCAGGTTGCCCAGTGAGGTTATAGATGCGTCTCTCTGGAAGCACTCCAGGCCAGGCTGGATGGGGCTGTGAGCAGCCTGGTCTAGAAGGAAGTGTCCCTGCCTGCAGCAGAGGGGTTGGAACAAGGTGATCTCCAAGGTCCCTTCCATCCCGAACCATTCTGTGATCCTTAATGTCAGTTTCATTTCTCATTTTGACAAGCAGGGAATATCCCCGCAGGGCAGCTGGATAGAATCTGACTAATTCAGTGCAGGGATTCAAAATTCCCCTTCAGATACTTGGGCAGCTCCATGTGCCAACAGGTCTGGTTGGGGATTAACTCTCCTAAATCCAATCCTAACACCTCTTTGTCTTATCCTCCTAGTACAGGTCTCCAAGCCCAGCAGCAGCAGTTGTCCAACAGCAGCTCCATCAATGAGTTTCTCCTCCTGGTGCTTGCAGACACGCAGCAGCTGCAGCTCCTGCACTTCTGGCTCTTGCTGGGCATCTGCCTGGCCGCCCTCCTGGCAACAGCCTCATCAGCACAGCCGTAGCACCACGTGCACACCCCATACACTTCTTCCTCCTCAACCTCGCTCTCCTGAACCTGGGCTGCATCTCCACCACTCTCCCCAAAGCAATGGCCAATGCCCTTTGGGACTCCAGGGACATCTCCTTTGCTGGATGTGCTGCACAAGTCTTTTTTTACTATTCTTTTTTGATGCAGAATACTTCCTTCTCACTGTCATGGCCTACGACCACTACGTTTCTATCTGCAAGCCCCTGCACTACAGCACCCTGCTGGGCAGCAAGCAGAGCTTGTTGCCACCATGGCTGCAGCTGCCTGGGGCAGTGGGTTTCTTTATGATCTGTTGCACACAGCCAATACATTCTCAATACCATTCTGTAAAAGCAATGCCAGTTCTGTGAAATCGCCCAGATCCTCAAGCCCTCCTGCTCAGAGTCAGACAATCTCAGGGAAGCTGGGATTATTGATTTTAGCCTTTGTTTAATCTTCGTGTGCTTTGTTTTCATTGTGCTGTCCTATCTGCAGATCTTCAGGGCCGTGCTGAGGATGCCCTCAGAGCAGGGACGGCACAGAGCCTTCTCCACATGCCTTTCACCTGGCTGTCTTGCTCTTTGTCAGCACTCTCATGTTCGCCTATCTCAACCCCCCCTCCATTTCGTCCCCATCTCTTGACCTGTTGGTTGCAGTTCTGTACTCACTGGTGCCTCCAGCAGTGAACCCCCTCATCTACAGCATGAGGAACCAGGAGCTCAAAAACACAGTGAGGAAATTCAGAGGAATTCCATGGTGTATCCAAAATTATTAGAACAGTCTTTTTACTTTCATTACTATTTCCTCATACTTGGATTAAGATTTAAATACTTTTATATTCAAATTCTTAGCCTCCTATCTGTTCACTTTTTTTACCTAGTCATGTCATTACAAGTCCAACTTGAAAACTGGGACTCTGTGGTCCTAACAAAGTTCAAAAAGTTCAAGTGCAATGTGTTGCCTTGGGTTGGGGCAAACGTAGAGATATGTGCAGATGGAGAGATTTCACTGAGAGCAACCCTACTGAGAAGGACTTCTGTCTGCCAGAGTTCTGGTGGATGAAAAGCTGGATGTGAGCCAGCAGTGTGTGCTTGTAGCCCTGAAGGCCAACTCATCTGGGCTGCATCAACAGAGGGGTGACCAGCAGGACGAGGGAGATGATTGTCCCTCTCTACAAAAACAACCAGAGGCCTGGATGTCCCACCCCTGGAGAAGTTCAGGGTCAGGTTGGATGGGGCCCTGGGTAACCTGATGTAGTTTGAGCTACACTACCTTTAAGGTCTCTTCTAACCCTAAACATCCTATGATTCTATAATTCTATGCTCTTGTGTACCTGCAGAACCAGGCTTCCTGTGCAGATGAACACAATGAAGAAGCCAGCAGAAATTCTTTTGTCTCAGCTCCCATGTCTCCCTTGTCCTCTTGAGCAACCCGCATATGTGGGAGAGTTTCAAGGAGCCAGGAAACCATCTGCCACATGGAGCAGCAGACCTGGTGCCCCTGTGGTCTGCCCCTCAATGCTGGCTGGGCTCTTTCTCTCTGCTGCCTTTGAGTTGGGGCTATTGCTTTCCTGAAACCATGGCCATGAGCAGCAGCTGAATATGGTCTTTTTAGCACTGCTCTCCCTCCACTTCCTTGCTCTCCTAATGTGCCTCTCCATTCCAGTTAGTCTTCAGTTCTCAATTTACTTGATAGCAGTCCTGCTGTCTCTACAGTAGCATACCTAACTAAAGGCCTGCTCAGGGCAGAGCCAGAATCCAGGCCTCTTTCAAAGCTGGTGTCAGCAATGCACTCAAGGAGCTGCTCTCTGCTCTTTTGTTGTCTGGAGCTCTCCATGGGCTGAAGAACACAGGCTTACAGTCCCACAGTGATCTGCTAGTGACCAGTCACTGGACCCAGGGCTCCCTTCTCAGTGGCACTTGTTCAAGCAGACAACAAATATTTGTTGACTTATCTGGAGCGTGATTCAGTACAGACTTTTTGAAGCCCTGTGGGTCAGATTTGGTTCAGCACTCAAGTGCCCTTTGTGACATTAGAGGCACCCCATGCTCCTGCCAAGCACTGTCCTTGGCTGCAGAGCCTTTAGCACTAGATGCAAGATTAGATTAGATTAGATTAGATTAGATTAGATGGCAAGAGGCAGCAGAGATCTCCATCCATCTGTGTCTGCTGCCCACCCTGAGCAGCATAACCTGGGCAGGGTCACCACAGATCCATCACTGCAGAGTAGTACCACCAGATCAGGGCCTTGTGGGGAACACGGGGAGGGAACCAGGAGCAGCCAGCCAGGCCAGCATGGACAAGCTGCCCTGGACAAGGCTCTCCAGGAGCAGGGATAGCTCTGGAGAAGAGCAAGAGAGCATTTCTGTGCCTTCAGAGAGGGACAGATGAGAAAGAGAAAGCTATTTCTGCAGGCATTTGCTGGGGGCAGGCTGTGCTGGGCCAGGACTCTTGTGCTAGGCTGAGAAGAGGATGGCACTGGCACAGGCAGTCTGTGCTGGGGGTCTTCTGGGCCTGGAGCTTCACTGACCTCTGTTTCCCCAGGCCACAGCCCCAGCCTAACAGCTGCTGTGCCTTCAGAGCTTCTGGGCCGTGGTGGCATTGCATACCCAGCGGTGGGCACTGCCACTGGGCTGCTGGGCTGAGCTGGGTTGGGAAGAGGGTAGGAGGTGGGGAGAGTTGGGGAAGAACCGGGATGTTCCCAATAGAGGGAAATACCACCATTAGCTGAGCTGAGACAGTGTGCAGGGTGAGAATTTGCAGCAGGGCTTTGTGGAGCAGATTCAGGGATTAGGGAAAGAGCCAAGATTTGCAGATGCAGGAGAGAGGATGTCAGTCTGCAGAGGTCTCAGTCACTAACAACCTTACACAACCAAGTCAGTTTTCTTCTGACTGAGATACTTTTGGGACTGAGACTTAGAAAATAACCAAGGTTGAGACAAGGCATAATATGCAATACCCTATAAAGATTTTCAGGAACATTTCAGGAACGTTAGTTTCTTCCCAAAATCAGAAAATAAATTATTTAAAAAAAAACAACAGGAGAGCATTATAATGATATATTAATGACAAAATAAAACTTAGCTCTGATTGCCATCAACAGGAACTAAGAACAGCTGTGAGCAAGTTCTGAGATTCATTTCTTTGAAATGATAATTCTGAACTTCTCGCAGTTATCCTTCCTCAAATCGGATGCTTCTCTGGAAGAGATTGGTGTGCAGGAGTTGCTCTGGTTGGTACACTTCTCCAATCAATAAACAAAAAGCTTGGGCTTCTACTCAAACAAGTGAGGGGTGAGGAGCGACGCCCTTGGGAAGTACAAACATAGGAGCTGTGACCAAATTGTGAACAGCTGTGCCAAATGGGAAGATTTCAGTTAGACATTTTGGAATACACCTTGCTCAGACTTGCAAAACTGATGTGGTGTTTCAGGAAAACTTACCCATAGCTTCCATGCTTACTCCTCGTTTTCACAAATGCAGCGTTTCCTTTGGAAATTAATTTGGACAAAAATAAAGAGAATCAAAAGCCTGTTTTCCTGTACTTCTGTAAATCTGAGCCCAGAAAAAAGAAAAAATAAGTTAGATAAAGTTCTTATGGAAATGAGACAAGATTGTCATTCTGGTGCTGACCTCCCCGTCATACACATGGATAATGCAGTGAACAGGCTGCAGGTGTTTCATCAGAACAGCTGCACTTACTTACTCCTCGATGCCAACAACCAAGGTAAATCTAACAAACCATGCAAAATCAATTCATGCTACAAAGCAACTGAAGGTGAGAAAGCTACTGTGAGACTTTTCACTTCTTGAACCTGCACTTGGCCATCACAATGTAGCATCAAACTATCTTCTGAGACTTTGGAGGAAAGTTTTGTGTGGCATGTGACTACTTTGACTGCACAGTTATGATCAAGCCTGAAACATCATTTCATGTAAGCAGTTCAGCAAAACCTGTACGCTACTGTCTGCACAGAGCTCTTCTGAGTTCCTCCCACCCCTCCCCTCACTGTCCATTATTTCTACAGGCCATTTTTTCTGCAGAGAGCAGCATAGCATTTTTACTTTATAGTTCCAGTGTTCTTTATGTGGCTAATGGAGAACTCTGCAATGTAGAATGAAGTAATGGGAACTTCATTCAACTGGCTGATTTAATAGTTCAAGCCTCCACATCGGACCTTGCTCTCCCCAGAAAAACCTTTGTGTATTTGTCACTTACTCATATTGTTCCACTTCAAGTGTGGTAGCCAGCATTTCAGAAATAACAAAGAGAAAAAAAATGCACTGAAGTTTTTCTCTTGCAAAAGATTTTTATTTTACAGTATTGATAGAAGCAAGCAAGAGCCTTGAAACCATTACTGCAATGAAAATGCGATCCCAAGTCTGCTCCTCAGCTTGCTACCTTGCTCACTTTAAGGGCAAGAATGCTTTCAACATTTTTAGTAATATATTTAAGGTTAGAAACTCACTAGTGAGCACATAGAGAAGGAAGGCAGTGTACAGAGAACAGCAATCCCAGCCTTGAGAACACTCCACTGCAACAGACCACTGCAGACACTTCTGTTTTATCATCAAAACTGAAACTAGAACTGCATCATGAATGGAATTTATTACCATGGGCAACATATGACATTGGTGTAAATTATAAATGAACCAGCAGATATAAGCTTTGGTCCCTGTAATTTCTGTAGCTAAAGCTAGTTTATCATGGAAGATTTACATACTGCTAAAATCCTTGCAAAGTTGTAGTATTCATTTTTTCTAATAAAAATTTGTGGAACAAGATACATATTGAGCTCCATGAGGTCTTTGCTTGCAGTAAGACAGCCTCGTTAATAAATAACCAAATTAACTTTTGAAAGCATCAGATGAGCATCAAAGCAAAAGCCTGAGAAATAACTGAAACCCACTTCAAACATAAAACCATTTTTCCCACTGAATTAGCAAGCGCATGTAAGTCAGCTCCGACTGGCTTCCAGTGAGGGTTTCCCAAGTGTCATGGCTGGAGGCAAGGATACGGCCTGTGTTTCTGCAACACTAATATCTGAGACATGTCTTTCAAGGCTCCACACCCCAAGACTGACTGTTTAAAATAAAATCTGTAATTCCTTACAACTACAATGTACTTCTGCGAGAATCCTTCTTTGTTTTGTTTTGGTTTTTTTTGGCTCAAAGCTTGCTTCCTGAGGTATTTTGTGTGATAAAACTCTGATCGATTTGTTGAGGAGGCAAGTGATGGGTGCTAACCGTGTGACAATGGATATCACTTTGGGAACATTTGCAAGCCCCTTCCTCCAGAGCTGCTTGCCTCTGGAAGAGACTGCTCATGAGTGTTCACTGGCGGAAGATCTGGCCTGTGACTAAACAGCTCCAGCTAGGTGTGGGAAAACTGGGGAATGATACCATTGTGTCCCGTGAAAAACAGGATGCAGATGGGCATCCCTGCTCCCTCTTATCTGCTGGCAAGGCCTGGAAGAACAAAGGAGTTTCTGCTGAGATCCCAGAGCCAGAAGCTGCCACTCCAAGGAGAGCTGACTCAACCACTGTGGATTTGAGCTGTCACTCCAAAGACAGCTGACTCGGCCGCTTTGAAACCATTTAAAAGGGGCCATCATTGCCACGGTCGTTGTCGTCATTGTTGTCAACAGAACAACTCTGCCTGACCACCCACCCTACTGAAGATCAATGACTGAACTACGAACCACGCTGGATCCATGGTGGTGATTCTCTCCCTCTTGCTTCCTATAAAGACTCCTTGCTTCTTTTTTTCTTCTTTCCTATCTTTTCTATCACCCTCCTTCCCTTCCCCATTTCCCTAATTAAGATTTGTAATAAACTGGTCGGACCAACATTTGAACTGTTGTTTCTTAATCTCACACCGAGTAGATAGACAATAAAAGAACCTCCTCTCCCTCCTATAAATTGGAGCGAGACAACTTCTTGAGCAGGGTCTTGACAGGAAGAAGAAATGCTGCCATTAAGCAGAGACAGAAAGGGGCAGAGGCAGTGGCCTGCCCTCTCCCATCCGCGTGCCTCAGAACTGGGAAGTTACACAGCTCACTGGGGTGGGAGCATAAACCTACTTTCATAGTTCCAGCATCGAACAAAATCCCTTGGGAAAACAAGACTGAGGGCTTCCATGGCTCTGCCCAAGCTGAGGTGGGCAGACAAGACAACAGCAAAAGAGGAGAACTCACATCCAGTTACACTTCTGGTTTCTCTCCCTAGACCAAGTTAGTGCTCCAAGATCCTTCCTATCTAGCCATCAACTCAAGGTTAAAATGTGGCTCCCCGTCCTTCCATATGTCTTGCTCATTTCTTCCTGTGGACAGGACCTCTACCCTGGCAGCACCCTGGGCATGACACTAAGTGCTCCAGGCACACAGGTTTCCAAGTGATGCCTGGCTTATCTAACGTGCACCACTTAACACACTCTCCCCTGTCACCACAAATATACCATCAAAATCTTAAGCATCTGGCTTGATTACTGGCAAATCTACATTTCTGGTCTTGACTGTCTGCTCTCTCCATTTTTTATATTGCTGACCAAATAATTTTCTCAGGCCAAGACTTTGAATCTTCCACGCTTCTCTGTGCGTCACTAGGTATGGATTCCTTGAGATTATTTTTTTTTGTATTCCTTTCTCTACATGCATAAAAGTTAATTCTCAGCAGAACTTTTCCTAACAGATGGTTTGGAAAAAAGGGAGACAGAAGTGTAGAGAATGAATGAAGGATCACTCAGTGCCCATCTAGAATCATCTTCACTGAGTCAGTCTGCCCTCCAGCAGGTCTGCATGGGTGAAAGAAGGCAGCCGAGCTTCTCCAGCAGCTCTGCAACTGTTGGTCTCAATCTATGTTCCTTTAACTTCTCCAAAACCCTACTATTGTTCCTCTAACTTAACTCTGAGCTTTTAATTCTCACTGTGTGTTTCTCATCCATCCTTTGCACCTTGTTCCCTCGTTTTTGGCGATCATTGAAGTAGAGTTGACATCACACTGGGCTTGATCATGTCAGATGGATCACTGGCAGCTCACTGCTTACCAATGAGCTGTAGCTGGCAGAACATTAAGGCCTGGAAATGCTGCCACAGAGGTTGCAGAGGGCTGCATACTTCTGCTCCCAGTTCCTGCAGACAAAGCAGTAGCCTGGTGTTGGTCAGGGCAAGCTTCTCCTGCCGCAGCTTGATGATGATGGATCTGGAGATGATCTGCAAGGTGAACTTCCACACATTTTACAGAAGGTGGCAGAGAAAAGCAGCATCTGTCAGTCTTTTAGGAGAGCCCTGGGGCAGGAGAAAAACTTGTTTGCCCTAGCAGCTCATTAGCACTAAAGATTCATTAAAAAGAGGAGCTACATAGCAATTGGGATTGAATAGTACTGACGACCTGTTAGCCCTCAGAACTCATTAGTATTGAGGACTCATTAGCACTAGCAGCTCTTTGGCACTTTTGTGTGAAACTCTTACATTTTAATAATGGATAAAGCGAGTCTTTAATGGAAAATTTTATATTTTGGATAAAGTGAGCCCATTATAAAAAAATCTTACCTTCTAACTCCCCCCTTTTGCATTTTCCTGTGCCAAAAGCTGGTTTCTGTGATCCATCTCTGGATGTGGATGCTCTGGGAGCAGAAGTCCTGCATGTCAATCATGAAGTCCAGCCTTGTCCAGCATGAACATGCAGATCCTCCTCATGTTGAGCAGTCTCTGCTTGAAGCACCAGTTCAGGATGACCACAGTGCGTCAATGACAACGTGCTCCTTCAGGTTGGAGCCCAGGGACACTGCCAGGGGCAAAAGAAGGCAAAGAGATGGGTAAGGGAAGTGCAAAAAAATGGAAAAGAGGGGTGAAGTGTGGGGGAGAAAAAAAGAAAAAAAATGAATGGGAAAGGAAGAAGCAAGGAATAGTAAAGAAGTACACAAGGAACAAGGAAGGAATGGACATGGGGTAGGAAAGGAAATGAGAAAGGGATGGGAAAAAGGACAGAGAAAGGGTCGGGCAAGGAGCAAGCAAAGAATAGTAAAGAAATTGGAAAGGAACAAAGAAGGGACCAAAGAAACGAGGAAAGGAATTAGGAAGGAAGGAGCAACAGGAGGAGCAATGGGAAGGACAAAGGGGTCCAAGAGTCTCTTCATTCCCACGTCCACGTGTCTCCTGTTATCCCTGCAGTAACTCCGTTACTCCAAGATTCTGTGACATTCACTCGGATTGAACGCAGCACTGAGGTGTGGAGGTGGCACTGCGTGACAGCAGGGATGACAAAACCCACTCGGAGGGTGGCAGCGGTGACAGCAGGGATGACACAGCCCCTAAGGCGACCCCTGGAGCGAAAGCCCCTCAGGAGGCGGCAGTGGGTGACACTGGGTGAAACCCGGGTTGACACAGACCCCCAGGGAGCGGCGCTGGTGACACCAGGGAGCGACAGTTCCTCGGGGAGGCACTCGGTGTCCTCTGCAGCCCCCAGCAGCCTCCGACACTTTTTGGCTGCCCCTCCAACGCGACCCTTCCCACCGCTTCCCCCCCGCCCCTCCCTCAGCCTCCCTCCCTCAGCCTCCCTCCCTCGGCCCCGCCTCCCTCCCGCCCTTACAGCCAATGGGAACACGCTCTGCGGCGGAAGGCGGAAGCAGCGGGAACGCCCGCGCCCCCTTTCTTCCTCCCCCCCTTCCGGGGAAGCGGACGTCATGGCGGCGCCGGCTGCGTAGAGACAGCGCAGGGCCTGCCTGGGGGCTGCCAGCGCCGTTCGGGCTCAGTCAGCCGCATAATTCTCATCCTGATCCTAATCCTAATCCGTTACCTGCAGCCCTACAACGCGGCATAAATCCTTCCTGAGGGCGAACTTTGCCCGGGGTGCGGCATTTCGGGTGTGGAAACCCGGCCCTGGGGCGGCCCCCATGGGCTGGGCCCCGTCTGCCAGCAGGGCTGGGCCAGGCCAAAGGGAAGTAGAAAAGAAAAAGTTAAAAATAGTCACTTCCGCGTCCTCCTGCCCCACTGCCGGGTGTTGTGCCCCGCGTTGAGGTCCTCTGCTCCAGGTGAGGTCTCCTTCTCCCTCTTTTGCCTGGCACAAAGCTCTTCTGCCCCACAGCAGGTCCTGCCACTCCTTTGGAGGTTTCCCCTCACGCATTTCAAGGTGCCTTGTGACAATTTTTCTACCCTGTTTCAAGGTCTACCACCTATGCTGAGCCTCATCGAGCTGTTCTGCTCCACAGCACGTTCCAGCAAGGTCTCCTGCTCCACTGTGAGGAAGTCTTCTTCCCCATGGAGGACCCTGTGATCCGCATACCCCCCTACCACTACATCCACGTGTTGGACCTCAACAGCAACGTCACTCGTGTGGAGGTTGGACCTCACTCCTACATCCGGCAGGACCATGAGAGGTACCTGCCTGGGGTTCAAGCAGTGGGCTGGAGAGACCCAGTCCCACATCTAGGGCCGTGATGGGCTCTGTAGGTCCGTGGGGGGCTCTGTACAGTTATAGGAATTCTGTATGATCATGGAGGCCTCTTTTATCTGGTTGTGTTCCATAAGGCCTTAGAGTTCCATGGGAGGTCTGTGGGGCGAAACAAGGGTTGTGGAGTATGTGAGGGGTTGCTGTGGAGCTCCAACAGTCCTACAGAGCTGATGGCAGATGTGTGGGGGCACCTGCAGGGTGGTCTTTTCCCCCAAGCGCATGGTGATAGTTCCCCCCCGGCACTACTGCGTGGTGCTCAATCCTGTGGCCCGGGGCCCAACGGGAGCTGTGCTGTTCGATGGTGCGGGGCAGGCCCAGCTGCGGCATGCTGACCTTGATGTCCGCCTCACCCAGGAGCCCTTTCCCCTGTACCCCGGTGAGGAGCTCCAGCAGGTACGCATAGCCACCCTACATTGCTCCTATAGCCCCCTATAACCTCAGCTATCCTTGCCCTGCCACCCTGCAAAGACTTCCAGCACCTCTACCTATGGGTTTCAGGGTGCCTACAGCTCCCTGTAGCCCCCTGTGGGGTTATCCACAGCCTCCTGTAGCTTTTTCAGTGTGTGACAGTATACACTAGCTTAGTCTTATATAGCATCTGTAGTTTGCAGTTTGATGTGATCCCCCTTAGCTTGTATAGCTCTTCTAGGTTTTCATGATTCCTGGAGCATCTGTAGCTCACCAGCAGCCATCCCAGAGGTCCTATAGTTAGTTTCTGGTAATCTTTCCAGCCCACATTCTCCTTCAGCTCTTCAGAAGCTCCACAGCACCTTATAGCTTCTATGGTTCTTATAGTCCCCCTATAAGTCCTCTACCTTCCCCTCCATGGTCTCCTATAGATTCTATAGTCTCCCAGGTCCCCCTCTGCAACTCTTCTCTGTGTCCTTCCATAGCCTCTATAGCTCCTCCTGTAATCCCCTATAGCTCCTCTGACCCCTCTGTTCAGTTTGCTATACATCCTGTAAACCGTCTATAGCTGTCTCATTGACTATAATCACTCCTGTAGAACTCCCACAGCTTCCCGTAGCCCTCCATGTGTTCCCCTTGTCCCTGCTTTGTGCCTGAGTACCTGCCACTGCCCTACCAGGACCCTTGCATCCCTCTGATAGACTTGTCATGACCCCCATGTCCTGAGGTCATGTCCCAGAGAAACCTTTTCCCTTATGCCCCCTGCCATGCCACCATCACTTCTGTCCCCCATTGTCTTCCAGACATCCCTAGGTTGTCACCCTCAGCCCTGACCTCTGTGTCCCCAGGATGTCACCCTCAGCCCTGACCCTTGTGTCCACAGGGTGTCACCCCGCTGCAGGTGGTGCTGGCTGATACTGCCCTGCGCCTTCGAGCCTTGCTTGACTTTGAGGATGAGGATGGGAACAAGTTTGTGGCAGGCGATGAGTGGCTCTTCGAGGGTCCTGGTAAGCAAGGGGCACACTTTAAGGACACCTTGGGGACATCTTGGGTTGCTGATGGTGCCCCGGCTCCACAGGCACCTACATCCCCCACAAGGAGGTAGAGGTGGTTGAGACGTTGCAGGCCACCGTCATCAGGCACAACCAGGCCATCCGCCTGAGGGCACGCAAGGAGTGCCTCGACCGTCAGGGCACGCGGCGTGTCACAGGTAGTACCCTTGGGATTGTCTTTTCCCCCCCAGTGGCCCTTGGGATCATCCCATCTCACTCTGATGACCAGTGGGATTGTCCCTTCTCACCCAAATGACCCTTGGGATAGTCCCATCCCACCCTCGTGATCCCAGACACCGTTGAGGTCATCCCATCCCACCCTAACGACCCTTAGTTTTGTCCCTTCCCACATTTGGGGTTGTCTCATCCCACCCTAATGATGTCTGAGATCATCCAGTCCCACCCTTAGGACTCCAGACACCCCTAGGTTTGTCCCACAGGACCCCCAGCACCCTTCAGACCCCTTCCCAACCCAGATCTCCCCAACCCTCCCTGTCTCCCACAGTCTGCACCAGCCCCCTTAACTCCTTGATCACCCACAATGCTGTTTCCAGGTGAGGAATGGCTGGTGAAGCGGGTGGGTGCCTACCTGCCAGGGGTCTACGAGGAGGTGGTCGATGTCGTGGATGCCTATGTCCTCACTGACAAGGTACAGGGACATGGGATCCCCTGTGGTCACCCCTACACCCATGGGTGACAGGGACACTCCAGGATTTTTTTGCCCTGACCCCAAATCTGGGTCAAGTTTAGGTGTCCCATCACTCTGTCTCCTAGCACATGCAGGTGATAAAGACCCTCTGGGACAGAATTGGGGTCCCATCATGCGCTTTGATCTCATTGTCCCACAGAAAGCCCTCCACCTGCGAGCTACCCGGACCTTTGAGGATGCGCAGGGACATGTGCGCCGCACAGGAGAGGAGTGGCTGGTGACACAGGAGCAGAGTGAGGCCTACGTCCCTGATGTCTTCGAGGAGGTGGTAGCTGAGGTGCTGGTGACAACTTTGGGTCCTCGACAGTACTGCGTGGTGCTCGACCCTGTGGGACCCAACGGGCAGCCCCAGCTGGGACAGAAGCGTGTGATCAAGGTGCACACCTCATGGGACCACAGAGATGTCACCTGCAGGTCCTTGAGGACAAGTTGGGTACCCCAGAGGACCATGTAGATGGACCTCAGGGACCTGCAGGTGGCTCTGATGTACCCATAGGTATCCCCAAGATATCTCAGAGGTGGCCAGTGGCCACCAGGGACCCAAATTTACTCCTGAGAGCACATAAAATCCCTGAGGTGATGTTCCTGTGTCCCCAGGGGGAGAAATCCTTCTTCCTGCAGCCGGGTGAGCGGCTCCAGGCTGGCATCGAGGATGTCTATGTGCTCTCTGAGGATGAGGGGCTACTTCTTCAGGCTCTGCAGACAATCAAGGACACTGACGAGGTGACACTGAAGCTCATAGCATCACGTGGTGGAGACTGGAGGTGGTGGGCGAATGGGGGACAGAGGGAACAACTGGGGGAACTGGAGGGGGAGCAAAGGAGACTCGTGGGAACACTGGAATTGGTAAGGTGCATTGGAGGCAGGTGGGGACAGGTGAGGTTCATGGGAGACGCCTGGGGTACATGGGAACAGGTGAGGTGCATACGGGGCACCTGGGATACATGATGATACCTGGGGACAGGGGGACACCTGGGAGATTCTGGAGGTCCCACATCCCCAGCCAGCGATTGGGTAGGGTCCCCACGTCCCATGTCCCCAGGTTGGTGCTGATGCCACCGCTGCATCCTCAGGATGGGACGGAGGTGATACGGCGTGCAGGGGACCGCTGGTTGGCCCGGGGTCCTCTCGAGTACGTGCCACCAGCTGAGGTGACTGTGCTGGAGCGACGCCGTGCGCTGGCCCTGGCTGAGAACGAGGGCATCTATGTGCGGGACATCCGCACCGGCAAGGTGAGAGTCCTGTTCCTACAGACCCCATGGGTGCTCAGTGCCCCTAAACCTACCCCAGTGTCCCTCACACTGCTTTCCAGTCTCTAGAAACCTTCCTTAGCTCATCCCAGTGCTTCCAGTATCCCATATAGCTGCTTCCAGTACCTACAGAGCCCATCTAGGATCTCCAAGAGCCCACCACATCCCTTTGGATACCCCTCCAAGGGCTCCTAGTAACCCCTTTCCTCTCTCAGTCCCTCAACAATCCCTTCCCAGTGCCCCCACAGTCCCCCTCCCTAGTGCCCCCACACACCTTTCCAGTCTCTCCCAGTGTCCCCCAGCACACATAATTCCCTCTCAGTTTCCCCAAGCCCCTTCCAAGTGTTCTTAGCACTCCCCAAATCCCATCCCAGTGCCCCCAGACACTTCCCACAGCTCATCCTAGAGCTCCCAGTATCCCATATAGCTGCTCTCAATAGCCCTTTCTGTGCCTCCACATGCAGTACTCCCAGTAGGCCTGAAATCCTCTTCCAGTGCCCCTAAGCCCCATCCAAGAGTTCCACGTACCCCACGAATCCTTTCAGTCACCCTTTCCAGTCCTCCTAGTATTCCTGGTGACACCCTAGGCCCACACTGGTTTCCATACAGGTGCGGGTGGTGACGGGGCAGACCTACATGCTGACGGAGGCCGAGGAGCTGTGGGAGAAGGAGCTGCCCCAAGGGGTTGAGACCCTGTTGGCTGAGGCTCGTGGGGACACAGCTGGTCAAGATTTGGGCATCCAGTCATCCTCAGGCCCCAGTTTTGGGGTCCAGGAAAGGGACCGGACCCGTGCTGTCACATATCAGGTGCCCCATAATGCTGCTGTGCAGGTCTATGACTACCGGGAGCGGCGAGCACGGTAAGTGCCTTCAGATGAGAGGCATGGGGACAATGGGATGTGGGGCAGGCACTGAGTTTGGGGAATTTTGCTGGGATCCCTGGCTTTGTTTTTTCCTAAAAGCCAACCTATTGGATCCATTCAAACTCAGGATATTCTGGGTTTGTAGGGTTCTAGGTTTTTATGTTTCTGGGATTCTAGGGTTCTGCATTTCCTAGGTTGCTGGGTTTCTGGGACTGCAGGACTCTAGGATTCAAGGACTGTAGGTTTTTAGGACTCTCAGTTTCAACAATTCAGGGATTCTAGCATTCTAGTTTTTTAAGATTCTAAATTCCATGATTCCAGGATTCTAGCATTCCATGTTTATAGAGTTCTAGGGTGTTTATAAGATTCTTGTATTCTAAGCATCCTAGGGTTCTGTGTTTATAGGACTCTAGAGTTCTAGGATTCTAAGGTTCTGGGGTTCTAGAGTTATATGACTGTAGAGTGTTGTAGAGTTGTTGAACTCTGGGGCTGCCAAGGATTGTCCAGCCCTCTACTACCTCCTGATGACCTTCCTGTGCTGCAGAATCTCCAATGTGACTGTAGGGTTTTGGGGTGAGAGTAAGGAGCACAGTGATGCTTATGGGTACTTACTCACGATGCTTACTCAGGTTATTATAGGTATTGTGGGACTCTATGGTTTCTAGGCTTTGTAAGATTGTAAGTTTCATAGGATTCTAGGGTTTGTAGGATTCTGGGGTTTGCAGGGTCCTTGGCTTGAAGGACCCTTGGGCCTCATTTTACCTTACGATGCTCTTTCTCCACCCCATTGCAGAGTGGTACTGGGCCCCGAGCTGGTGGTGCTGGGCCCTGGTGAGCAGCTGACGGTGCTGTCCCTATCTGGAGGCCGCCCCAAAAGGCCCCACGCGCGCCGCAGCCTCTGCCTGCGCCTCGGCCCTGACTTCTGTGCTGACATTGTCACCATTGAGACAGCTGACCATGCACGGCTGCAGCTGCAGCTGGCCTACAACTGGTGGGGCTGGGGGCTGAGGGGTCTTAGGTGGGAGTTGGGGTGGTCTTAGGATTGGGTGGTCTTGAGTATGGAGTGATCTTGTGTATGGGGTAGTCTTTGGGTAAGGGTGAGGTGGTCTTGGGTGGGGTTTGGTTTGGTCCTGGGTCTTGAGGTGGTCTTGGTGTGGGATTTGGGTTGGTTTTGGGTGGCGTTTGGGTTGGCCTTGAGTTTGGGGTGGTCTCAGGTGAGCTATGGGTTAGGATTGGGTGGAGTTTGTGATTGATCTTGGGTGGGGTTTGGGGTGGTCTTGAATTTGGGGTGGTCTTGGTTGAGGTTTGGGTTGGTCTTGGGGTGGGGCTTGGGATGGTCTTGGGTTTGAGGTAGAGTTAGAGTGGTCTTAAGTTTGATTTGTTCTTGGGTGCAGTATGGGTGGTCTTGGGTGGAATTTCACTGTAGGACAGCCAAAGCCCATGGGTTGGTGGCCTGGGGACAGAGGTAGCTTTGAGAATCAGGGTTAGGACCAGGACTGTGGTATGGGGTGGTGACATGAGGACATTTCCCCAACAGGCACTTTGAGGTGCCTGAGGATCCAAAGGCTCTGGGGCGTCTCTTCAGTGTTCCTGACTTTGTGGGGGATGCCTGCAAGGCCCTGGCCTCCCGTGTGCGTGGAGCTGTCGCTGCTGTCACCTTTGATGACTTCCACAAGGTCCACCCCTTGCCACCCCTTGGTTCCCCCACTTATCACCCATGCTTCCCCCAGCCACGTCACCCTAAGTCATTGCCTTGCGTCTTCCTGTGTCACCTCCCCCTACGTCCCCACATTTTGTTTATGTGATCTTGGCTCGCTCAGATGTCACCAGAATGAGGTTCCCCATGTCCCTGAGTCTCTGCTGTCTCCTAGAGCCTCTGGGGACATCAACAGAATTCTCAACATCCCTGCTTGGCTTTGATAAATCCTTGCAGGTTCCTCAGTGTCACCCCATGTCCCCATTGTGCTCACTGCCCCAACAGCCTACACTATGATATTGTCCCCAGATGTCCACAGATGCCCTTATATCTCCATATCCCCAAGTATCTTCTATATCCCATTTCCCAGATCTCTCCTGTCACCAAATACCCTCTATGTCCCTCACACCCCTAAATGGCCCTGTTGCCCCCCTGGTCCCCTGCCCTTGTCCTCATCCTGCAGTGACACTGCTGTCCCTGCTGTCCCCAGAATTCCAATCGCCTCATCTGCTCAGCTGTCTTTGGCTTTGACGAGAGTGGACGACTGCGGGAGCACCTGCGCTTTGTCCCCAATGGGCTGGTGGTGACGAGCGTCGACATCCAGAGTGTGGAACCTGTGGACCAACGCACACGCGACGCACTGCAGCGCAGCGTCCAGCTGGCCATCGAGATCGCCACCAACTCCCAGGAGGCTGCCGCCAGGTCCCCAGTTCCCTGTGTCACCTTGGGTTGCCCCCCTTGTGTTCTTGTTGCCATATGTCTTCTTTTGCCTCTCTGTATGCCATGTGTTGCCATATTCCCACCTCTCCTTTTCCACTTCCTGTCCCCATATGACCTCTTTATCCCCAGGTGTCCTCTATGTCCCCTGTGTCCCCAAATGTCCTCTATATCCCATACATCCCCAAATTTCCTCTACATCTCCCATTTGCTCAAGTGTTCTCTATATTCCCAAGTGTCCCCAAATATCCTCTCTATCCCTCTTGTCCACAGATGTCCTTGTCCCACATCCCCGAGCATCTTCTATGTGTCCCATGCCACCAAATGTCCTCTTTATCTCCCATGTTTCCAAATGTCTTCCATATCCTCTGTGCCCCCAAACTTCATTCCACATACCCTCCATCCTAATGTCCCACATATCTTCAGCATCACCTGCATCCTTCTGTGTCCCAGTATCCCCAAAGCGTTCCCAGTGTCCCCAGTGTGTTCCCAGTGTCTCTAACATGTCCCATATGTCCCATCCCCAATGTCACCTGTGTGTCCTCAGTATCCTCAGAACCCCAGAGTTCCCACAGCATCCCCAGTGTCCTGTGCTCCAGTGACCTCAACGTGTCTCCAACTGTCCTCCCACTGTCCCGTCTGCATCCCCACTGTCCCACCCCCCAGTGTCCCCAGTTGGCCCCCAGTGTCCCCCCAGTGTCCCACATGCCCACAGTGTCCCTTCATCCCACAGGCATGAAGCTGAGCGCCTGGCACAGGAGGCCCGGGGCCGCCTGGAGCGCCAGCGGCTGTTGGACCAGGCGGAGGCAGAGCGGGCACGCAGGGAGCTGCTGGAGCTGGAGGCCCTCAGGTCAGCCATCTTGGTTCTCCCCCTTCCCAGCATGCATCACGCTCACCTGCCAACTTGGGAAGGCTGCCGGGGACCTCCATTTGCCCAAGGCTCCACCTGTTCCAGTGTCCCCATGTGCCCCAGCTGGAGCGAGTGCTGGGGCTCTGGGAGTGCTGGGACCCATTGGCCTACAGAAGTAGGGCAGTCTCCTTGCTTGTAGGCAAGGGTGGGAGGAGGGGATGTGGCCCCGGCAGGCTTGGCTTGTGACAGCACTCCTTGCAGCGCTGCAGTGGAGAGCGCAGGCGCAGCGCGGGCGGAGGCCCAGGCCAGGGCAGAGGCTGCACGCATCGAGGCCGAGGCCGCCATCTTGCAGGCCAAGCTGAAGGCAGAGGCTGTCGCCATAGAGACGGTGCGTTACGAGCAGGGCTGCGGCAGTATCTCATAAGGTGGGGTGAGACCTTACCTCCTCCCCGTGTCCAGGAGGCAGAGCTGGCGCGGCTGGAGCGGATGCAGGCGCAGGAGGTGCGGGCGCAGCGGGCGCGGGCGGAGGCGGAGGCGGCGCGGGCACAGGCGCTGGCGGCCGTGGAGGCCTCAAAGGTGCGGGAGGTGGCAGCAGCCCTGGGGCCTGAGACCATCCGGGACATTGCCCGTGCTGGGCCTGAGCTGCAGGTATGTGGGGCTGGGGGTGGGCTTAAGTGTCAGCTTTGGGTGGCCATGGGGTTTCAAAAGCACGGCAGTCTTGATGGGCTGTAGGGTGCCCGTGGCTTGGGGCTCCATAGGGTGGGAACTCTGTTTGGTTACAGGGTTTCGATTGGATACATGGTGTCAGTGGGGCAGGATCTTCATTGTATTGGGTCTCCATGAGCTCCATGTGGTTTTGGGGGCCTCTGTGGGGTAGAGGGTGGCAAAACATAGGGGGTGTCCATTGAGTTGAGCCTCCATGGGTTACGAAGTCTCTATGGAGTTACAGGATCTTCATAGGGTACAGGCTTTTAGTGGAGCAGTGTCTCCATGAGGTGGAGGTGTCTACATGTTGTTTCCATGGATTGGGTTATCAGTAGATTGGTGTCTTCAAGGTAGGGGGATCTCCATGGCGCTGAATTTCCTTGGGTTATGAGGTCTCCAATGGGACGAGGTCTCCATGGGCTGGAGGTGGCCAGTGTTGTGGGTTCTTCATGGAGTATGAGGTCTCCAGGTTAGGGCCCCCAAGGCTGGTGGGGCCACCAGGTCTCTGTGCCACGATGGGGCAGCGCCTGCACTGTGCTTTCCAGGTGAAGCTGCTGCAGGGCCTCGGACTGCAGTCTGCCCTCATCACCGATGGAGCTGCCCCCCTGAACCTCTTCAGCACTGCCCGGGGGCTGCTGGGGCTCGCGGTTCCTCCGGAGCCCTCAGCCTCGTAGGGCTCAGCACTAACAGAAGGCAGAAATCCCAGGATGCTGAGCACTCAAAGCTTCCTTTATTATTTTTTTTTTTTCCAAAATAAAGCAGAGTGATTGCAGTAGTGATGTCATAATGATGGTGAGGCTGGGGTGGAGATGTCAAAGTGTCTGAAGTAGTATCACCAAAGTTGGAAAAGACCTCCAAGATCAACCAGTCCAACCATCCATCTACCGCCAACCAGACAAATTCTGGTTGATTTTCCTCCCTTTTTTATAACAAAGCCCTACTCTCTTTGCAAATGACACCAGTTTGGAGCAGAAGCACCAAGCCTGGGGTGAGGTGTCTACAGGCTATGTTGTTTCAATGGATTGGGTTATCAATAGATTGGTGTCTTCAAGGTAGGGGGATCTCCACGGTGTTGGATTTCCTTGGGCTTATGAGGTCTCCAATGCAATAAGGTCTCCATGGGCTGGAGGCCATGTCCCTTAGTGCCAAATATGTATGTTTCTTGAAAGCCTCCAGGGACAGTGACTCAGCCACCTCCCTGGGCAGCCCGTTTCAGCACATGACCGCACTTGTAGAAGAAATCTTTGCTAATATCCTACCCCCAGACAGGTTGACACTTCCTACCAGCTTGGTGTCATCTGCAGACTTAAGTAAGTGCGTTCGATCCCCTCGTCCAGGTCATCTAAAAAGATGCCGAACAGGACAGGCCCCATTACCAACCCCTGTGCAACACCACTCATGACCATTCACCAGCTGGGTGTAACTCCATTCACCACTACTCTCTGGGCCTGGCCATCCATCCAGTTCTTCACCCAGCAAAGAGTGTACCTGCCCAAGCCGTGGGCTGACAACGTCTCCCGGAGAACATTGTGGGAGACAGTGTCAAAGGCTTTGCCCTGGGAACAGTGAGGTCACAGCAAGTGGGGTCCTAGAGGCTGTGGGGCTGAGGGATGGAGACTGGGAGCCCCTTTCCCTACCTCAGGGTAAATGTGTTAACTCAAGTTTTATTGACATTTTCGATGTATTTTCAAGCAGAAATGAGAAAAAGCAAATTGCAAACAGTTATGACAAAATACTGAGGACATGGTTAAAAATGAAGTAACCAGTGAATGTGTTCCGGAAGGAAAATAAGGCTGTGAGCAGGGAATAGGAACATTTCTGAGCAAATCACAGTAATTTAATGAAAAACATTAAAAATATGGTTAGAACAAACTAGAGAATGAATATGTTTAGGGAAGAAGATAGTAATGTTACTAGGAACAGCAAAATTTCTGATAAAATTGCAGTACTGGAGACATAGTTAGAAAACTAGACCTGTGAATATATTGTGGAAGAAAAATAAGGGTGTGAGAAAGGAATGAAGATTCCTGAGTAAAGTGTGGTAACATAAGAAAATAATAAGCAATACAATTGAAAACTAAACCTGTGAGCAAGATTCCAGTCATAAGCCCAGGCTTGGTGCTTCTGCTCCAAACTGGTGTCATTTGCAAAGAGGGAGGAGTAGGGCTTTGTTATAAAACAGGAAGGAAAATCTACCAGAATTTGTCTGGTGATGACATTAGGATCACACACCCTGTGCCAATCTCACCTGTACAAATTCCTGTTTATAAGCTACACAGCACTATACATCAGTTACATATGATAAAGAATAGTAATTATAATCTACAGTAAAAGAGATTTGCATGTGTGTATAAAGACACACACAGGCACACATGCATAAAAGCAACAGTCCTTTTACTCTGCTCTTTCATCTCAATGTGCACCAAGAATTGGAAAAATCCAAAGGTAATGTTGTAAAATTTCAGCAAAAATTGTAGCCAAGTATTTTGGGGAAACGAAGCAAAAAAAAAAACAACCCTCTTTTGCCTGTTAGCTTCATGGTTTTGGGTGATATTTTGCTTTAGGAAGTGCCGGGGCTTAAACCTGAATTTCTGCCCGTTTGTTTTTCTTGGAATTGTTGCCTTCTGCGGTTGTTTCTTTTATAAACAGCCTTCTGAAATAGATTCTGCTTGGGACCTGTCGGCCGCTTGGAACGATTCCACATGTTAAGCATGGGTGTGGGTTGGAAAATACCTTGCTTTACAGATACAAATCTGGGAATCCGTCCTCTTTGTGATAAATCAGAACCATCAAACGATGGTAGCCCAGAATCACCATGGGATCAGAGAACCTATCGTCAGGGAATCTACACAGAGCCAGACAATCTAGAAGTATTGAATCATCATGGAGATATTATGAAATCTGCACTCATTGAATCTAGAACATACAGTCATAGAAGCATCGGCTCATCATAAAACACCAGTCTGGAATAATAGAACCATCATAGAACGTAGAAACAATTAATTAATTTAATTAATTTAATTAACCCCATAAACTACTCTCCCATAAAACTCACCGAATCCTCACAGAATCTGACATAGGCCCACAAGGCATTAAGGACTTCAGCCTGTGTTTCCACCCCTCCATCCCATGAAGGCTGGGGATTCTCCTTTATCCTCCCTTAGCTTCTACTGTACTTAGAGCAGCATTTTTTGTGCCTTCAACAGCGGTAGCCAGATGGAACTCCAGCTGCACTTTGCCCTTCTAATTTTCCCTCTGACATCTTTGCAGTCCTCATAGTTTTGTCCTGGGCAGAAACCAATCAGACTAACAGGAGTTGGTGGGCACAAGCATTATTTTGTTTTCTCAGTCCCACAGAGGGAAATTTGGCATGGAGCAAGCTCATAACCAATGGTGTTGAACAGCATCACCCAGCGCTCCTTATGGAATGGGTTATGTAGAAAACCAAAGCACTGCTGCCAGGTACAAGTGCTGAGAGGTTTTCTTCAGAAGATGGATTTTAATATTTTTAATACATTTTAAATATTTTTAAGACCTTTCCAAAAGAAATCCAACACTGGATTTCTTTTGTGGAAATCCAACACAATCCTTCACAAAACCTCCTTTTCCATGACTCAGGAAAAAAAAGTGTTCATATAAAATACACAAGCAAAAAGGAATCCCAGGGAGCCTGACCTTATAGAGTTGCATGTGTGAACCTCAGCACAGGTCTCCCCATCTGTGGAAGCGTTCAGGGCCAGGCTGGATGAGGCCCTGGATGGCCTGATCTGATGGGAGGTGCCCCTGTCCAGGGCAGAAAACTGGGACTGGATGATCTGTCAGGCCTCTTCCAATCTCAGCCGTTCTATGATTCCATGACTTGATGATTCTACAATGATTCTCTGATTCACTGATTCTATGCTTCTGCTATTCAATGATTCTATGATAATTCTGATTCTAAATTCTCTGATTCTGAGACTTCTCTGTTTCTGAGCTTCTTTTATTCAATTATTATGATTCTAGAGCATATAATTAGCTGATTGCATGATTCTGGATTCTCTGATTCTTTGACTCTATGCTTCTGCATTTTGATGGTTTGATGATGCCCTGGTGGTTCTCTCATTCTCTGATTCCATGCCAGAGCATATAGCTGTACATGGAAGCAGCCACTCACATGTAACCCCACTTCTC